TCTATTTTGTAGAATTTCACTTAAAAATACTAACGATCTGCAGGTCTTTTGCGCGAAAAATTGCAAGATCAATTTATAGCTTTGTAGGAATTTTACAAAAATGTTTTCAGCATCTGGGACAAAAACGAAAATAAATTTCTCCCGTTCGCCTGCAGTGAATGAAACATCAGCAAGTTTCACCAAATATTTCGAACAGTTTGAGAAATGAAATTATTGATCAAAATCCATCAGCACTGAATGCAAAGAAGATGATTTTTTCCGGCAGAATCCAATTAAGAGATATGAAATGCTCATATTGAATGCAAAGCCCTGAGCTTATCAGTTGCATATTCTGCGAGCAATAAGCCGCTCTAATCGTCGCCGGGATAAAACCATCCCCGTCTTAATAGGGGAAAGAATATCTGACGAAAAAGTGATTAGAATTCGACGGAGATGATTCAAGGGTACTAATGGAGAGCGGAGCGTGGTAAAATTGGCAAATAAAACGACATCTAAGAACGGCGTCCTGGACGGGACCGACGCTAACTGGAATTCCGTAATTTCCGCCGCTTTATGGAGTATGGGGGAGCTGGGGGCAGACTGCCGATCCAAAATTCGCTTCCAATAGTCATAACTGGCCCTCGATCAGCAATTCCGTGGCTGAATTGCACAATCGACGTGTGCATAACTTAGTTTTGATGATTGTTTTCCTGTTTTATCATTCCACTTTGTTCTAATGGCGTGTGCGGCTTTGAGAGAGCCGATAATGAGATGCGTTCCAGTTCAATCGCGTCGCATTCGATCCGGGTTAAACTTTGCTGACTTTCAATCATTTCGATGCACAGGAACGGCAAAAAGTAGGGAAAATTCTACGAATTTTCCAACCGAACAGGGTCAAACAATCAATTCACTCTGTTTAATTGTTGATCACTCTTTGAATATTCCCCCAAAAGGTATGTTTGACATGATTTTGTGCTTGCCAATTGGGCGTGCTGGAAGAGCTTTAGCGTGTAGCCGAGAGGTTTCGAACTATTTTCGTCCTGCCCCTAAACAAGTGTTTAAATTTGTATGCAAATTGCCAAACTCTGTCCTGTTTGATAATGGATAACTGGGTGCCTTCAATGGATTTTTTGCCCACAAAGGGCAAAAGTCATCTGCATCCAACTGATTTCTTGCATTCCGTCATTGTCGGCCCGCAATAATGATATTCAAAGCTTTCAGTGTCTTCGACAATACCCTTTCCCTTCGGGCTGGGGAGTAGATAAGGCCCTTTCAGGCCTGAAATGCGAGGGTGCCTCAAGATTAGGCTGGGGCGCCATCCCCCATTGCAAATAAGCCGCGAGGGTGTGAAACGATATCTAATTTTTAATGATTCGAATTGGATTAAAATTAGTGTTGACGGATTTGTTTGGGGGGCGCCGCCGGCCTCAAAGGGGCCTTTATCGGCTCTGTAATCGAATTATACGGATCGGGGATCGGAAAACGCGGCTGTTTTTCATTTGCAAATGATAAATAGTCGCCAATGTCGATGAAAAATGAGCGTCGAGTTGCTCGTGTAGCAGCTGTTTGCCCGACGCGGTTTTTGCCTCTGAAGCGGCAACAATTTATGTTTTTTTCTTGTTGTTCTGCAGGCTCACGCCAGGCCAGCATCAAAGTCGATCCGTCCACCTTGCCCACATTTCTCACCTCCAGTCAAGTCTTCAAAGTCAAGGACCAGGACAGGGTGGTTTTGCCCTGTGAAGTCACAAATCCTGGTAAGTACCCAGATAGCATTTGATATTCTATGAATATCCCAGAATGTTCAAAAAATATACAGAACATTGCGGGAATATCCTGGGAATATACATAGGTGAACATTCTTAACATGAATGTTCGTGGAATACACATGCTTGTATATTCATCAAAGTTCATAAAAAGTATATCCTAGGTATGTTCATATATGTACATATTGGGTATATGTGCAGATGAACATGCCAGCTATGTACATGTTGTGTATATGTGCAGGTGAATATACCTAGTATCTTCAAAACAAATATTCCGGTAATATACATGAATGTATATCTACGGTATGTTCCAAATTGGTTGAATATAAATTTTGCGTGCCCGCAGCAGAAAAGTAAGGGCATGTAAAAGTAAATCT